CCCCTGCCATAGGCAGGGACACCTCCCACCAGACCAGGATGCACAGTGCTCCATCCAGCCTGACCTTGAACACATCCAGTGATCCACAGCTTCCCTGGGCAACCCATTCCAGTGTCTCACCACCCTCATAGTGAAGAACTTCTTCCTAATTTCCCATCTAAATCTACCCTCTTCCAGTTTGAAGCCATTATGCCTTGTCCTATCACTACAAGCTCTTATAAAAAGTCCCTCCTCAGCTTTCTTGTAGGCCACCTTCAGATACAGGAAGGCCACAATGAGGTCTCCCCAGAGTCTTCTCTGACTGAGACTTCTCAGGCTGAATAACCCCAGCTCTCTCAGCCTGTCCTCACTGGGGAGGTGTTCCAGCCCTCTGGTCATCTTCATGGCCCTCCTCTGGACCTACTCCAACAGATCTATGTATTCAGTTTATAAGGGTTATCTTGAGAGCTGCAGGTTTGGATTGGTATTTTGGATGGAAGCAGGAGAAGAGGAATTCCGAAGGATCGACGTAGTGCTGTTGACCAGACAGCACCTACAGGCAGAGAGATAATGTGTGACAGAAAAACTGTGACCAAAAGGTAAACAGCAGGCTGAAGCTGAACTGGCTAATCGGCCTGTACTTTCATGTCTATTTATACAATTAAAATAGAAATATATGAGCCTTTGTAATTGTAAACAGACTCTCAGGGATCTTTCTTCACCCTCTTATGGTGCCTCTGTTTTTTCTATCCATTTCTGCTCTGTTACCCAACAGAACATGCAAAGAAGGAAAGGTAAATTGTTTGGAGATTGACACCACGTCCTTTGGAGTTACATCTTCTTGTAGTCCTGTCAGCCAATAAGCCTTAATTTTGGAGTAGACCACAAGAAAGCATCACTAGGTATTTTTCCAGTTCCAGCCCCCAGAGCTGAGGAGTAAGTTACCAAATGGACGTGATAAGATGTGCACTATAGAAGTGGGAAGTAAATGCATTCCGAATTTCTGCCTCTCTACAAACTTACTAACAAACCACTTTCTTTCCATGCTCCTCTGCTGTTTGCAGATCTGTAAACAGCCTCATGGAAAAAAAAAAAAAAAAAAAAAAAAGTAGCTAACAGGCCAGTGGGTGCAGTTTGCATTTCACAGCTGAAGTTAGCAATTCATAGCTGAAAGGACAGTGGATGGACTTCCCTTCTCGGATGTTCATTGCTTGGCCACTTGATCCATTTATCTGCTTGGTGAAAAGAGACAAGCCATACAGGCTGCCCCTGGCTTGTACACTGTGGCCTTTATTCCTCATTTCCTAAGGGGCTCCCAAGCAAGTCTGCTTTTCTTTTTAGTTGTCTGCACCTTAGCCCAAATGACTTGGTTCAAGTCGGCTTTGTTCAGTTTGCCCTTGCATAAATTCTGTTGTCAGGACATCACAACCATTACCTCTGCACCCCACAGCAACAGCTGAATTTGCGGAGGGAGGGTATCAGGGGTAAGCAAATCTTGAACTCTGGAGGGAGGTTGTGAGAGCTGAAAAAGTGCACAGGGAGCTAAATACTTACACTGTCCAGACTTGAGAGTGCAACTGGTATCTTCTTGCATTTTGGCTGTTTACTTCACGTGCTTTACTACTACCCAGTTGGTCTTCTGACTTGCCAGCCTTCTCCCTGCCCATTGGAGTACAGTGGTTGAACATCCTGCTTGAACTGAGTGATGGAACAGTTTATATTGCTTATTGCCCTCAACAGGGATTTTGCCATCACCTATGGCACGGTACTACCTCAGATGCTTGCCATGGAACAGTACTCCAGAAGGCTAAGTCATTTGCACTAGTTTTGCACCAACAGTACTCTTCAAATGTGTACAGCCCAAAGAACTGGATACTTTTAGACGCGAGGCATCAGGCCACAAAACATTTTCAGTTACAGCTGATGCTAAACAAAGGTTTCTAAAGGCTATGGCTGCCCTATCAGCAGTGAATAGCATTTCACTTTTTAGCTAGACCGAAGGCAAAGAAGTTAAAAGATGTGTCCTGTTCTTGTACTGTGATTGTTCTTCACTCATTTTTTCTTTTGATTTAGGTTAGACTATAGTTTAGACCCAAGAGCTTCTTTGACCCTGACAGCTTGAGTACAGAGGCAAAGCAAGGGGTGTCGGTTGTGAATGCGAAGAAGCAAACTTTCATCCATTTGCTTGGAAGCCTTTGCTTTTGGGAATGCCAAGAAATCTACTCACAGCTTTCTTCATCTAGGTTTGGCTCAACACCCAGAAGAGAAGTGAAAAACTCTCTTCTCAGTGGAAGATGGCAGCGAACCTGAGCCGAGCTGCTGGGCTCATCTACCTGATGTCTGTCTGAGGTGTGTCGTCCATCGGTTAGATGACAGCGACAGGTCTCAGGCTGCCTTGGTCTGTATAAAATGGAGTGAAGTCATGTACTCTGAAACTCCAATGTGTGTGCCCTTGATGGTCGGCTATAGAATGTGATGGTTCTGCTCCTCCACAGAGAGTCAAAGTGCATTGTGCTATGCCAAGAAATTTGGCAAGTATTTGGAGCACCTTGAGATCAAGTTATCAAATCCTTGCAATATTGCCTTTACCCAAAGATTTCAAGTGACTATGAAAGAGCTTCTTTCACATCTGGTAACAGTCGCCTACTATCCCTGAGCATCGAGTACCTGGAATTAGACCACTATTTCTGGAAAGATGTGGTCAGGGCTTGGTTTATCAAGAACTTGGCTACCTTCCTGAAAAGAGTGAACAAACACCTTGATTATCTCAACTTAAAAGGGGCAAGAGTAAGAAGGCTGTGAGCTTCTGAATTCTCTGAGCTGCCTGAAAAATAAAAGCTTTATGTCTAAAATCAATATTGAGGATTTCTTCAGTTTCCACCTTCTTCTCTACCTTGTTCCACCAAACTATGTCCAAGTTCCACAGCCTGGTCATCCTGACTTTCAGTTATAACTGCATCTCTGATGAACTGCTGGACATCCTGCTAAGCAATGTAATTGCTGCCTTCAGCATAGCAGCAGTCATCATTAGGAATTCCTGATCAGATTTATGTTCAGAGGGTCATTTTCCTAAGTGAGCCATTCCAGTGTTCCAGCTGTAGTCTAGTTCAGGTAATTATCCTTCTCCAGTTATAATCCCCATTATGCTAATCGTTGTCAGTCTGATGTCAGGTTGCCCTCATAAAAAGCTAAAACACCTGAAATGCTGGTGGTTCTAATGTCAGCTGTGAGAAAAAGGAACCTTTCAGGCAGGAAAATGACATTTTTGTAAGGCTTATTCTGTTGGACAACTAAATGTTTAGTAACTGATGACTTTCTCATCCTTTCAGATTTTTCTGAACACCACCCTTTTGCAGGGAAATCTGCACATGAAGAAAATGGTCTGTACACCTTGTTTGCTTACAGAGCTGTAGCCTGCCTCAACCTACACTGGTTTTGCTCCATTTTGGCAATGCAAAAATGTCTTACATGGCATGTAAATTAACTGGTGCTTGTGTCAAAGCACTTTGGTGTCACCAAGGATGTGCCTCTACAGGTGTGGAACAGCTGACCCATATAAATGAGCATCAGGTCTTTGCATGCCTGAAGGGAAGCACACAGCCTTATTACCCGATGGTTGCTGGCAGCTTTCTCTAAGTTCTGTTGCATTGCAGAGTGTCCAGTAAACACCAGAGATGTGTAGATCTTTCTAGAAATTGTCTTTGGATCTACTCTTGTACCTGCGGTAATTTCCAGTATGTCAAATGAGATCATGGCACGAGCTGTGTAACATCTTCCAACAGTAACAGAAGTTGTCTGGCTCTTAGGATGGTATGGCGTGCACAGGAGACCCCCTCAATCTTAATGGGAGAGTGGAGGTTACTGTAGCATATGCTCTTTTTGAAGTACAAAACCGAGTCTCTGCTAATGTCAAGGTACAAAATTGATCTGCTGACAGTCATTTCTCGTGCTAAAGATTGGGAAACTCGGGTTTACTGAATGCGCCCACGCTGTGCTCGGTAGTGCTAACAGCATTCATTCTTTTTCAAGCAATTAACACTTGAACTAAACAATGACCATGAGCTGCTGGATGATGAGTTGCTACAGCTCATCTTATCATGCAAGAGGTTGTTATATCTGAAAGTCTGGGCATTGCTAAGTGTCACCTTTATAGAGAGGCTACTACAAAACCGCACAGAAAGAAAATGCATTTTAACTACAATAAGAAATGCAATTTGACTTTGTTCTTCAAAACTCCCATTCCCTTCCTCTCTCCAGTACCCAGAGAAAGGTGAGGTTCCCCATGCCCACAGAAGGGTCACTTACAGAAATGTTAATATAAGTACCTCCTTTATATTATATTTTAGCATTATAATGAGCCTGAGAACCACTCACAGAAATGGGGCTTTCTAACCTACTTAGCCATGTACAGAATAATATAGAATTTCAATTGCACAAGTCCTTCCTAGGCTGCCATTCCCCGTCACCTCTAGTTCAAGCTAGGGATTCTCAGTCACCTCCCAAGCCCAGTGCTTGTCTGTGCTTAAACTGAGGCAGGTGGGTTGAATCCCACTAAACTGCAAAAAGATATAAGGCCATCTCGCTCCTTCGGGATGCTGTGTTGAACTGGGGCCAAAGCACAGCTGCTGGTGGTGTAAACCATGCTGTCATGCTACTTTACATGCTGGATTCTGAATTCGGTACATCCTCCCAGATCTGTGCAGATCCGTCACATCTGATGCATCAGATCTTGGGGTATAAGGAACCTTGCTCTTCCCAGAAATTGTCAGCAGATGATGTTTTCACTCAGTTTGAAGTGAAATCAGGGTAAAACCTGAAGATTTTACTCAAAACTAAGGAATTTGTCTTCTTTAGATTCCTCCATAGGCTTCTTGTCACGAGGTTTAATGGGCTGAGCCTCCTCCATGTATCTGTCATTCATTCATACAGGTCAGGATTTACACAGCCCAAAAAGACACCAGTGAGGAGGACCCACTGTTGTATGGTATTTACAGGAAGTTCAAATACCTGATTGACTCAGATTAATTATTTTGTCATCACCTACTCAATGGAGTAAACCACACAAGAAGGACACCCACTGACCTCTGCAAGCAATGAGCAGAACCTTTGAGGTGGTATTAGGATGGGATTTAAATCTTAACAGCAGTGCCTCATTATAGCAAGAGAGAGGCAAAGGACAATTTTACATTCCATGCATTAAAATGTTGGCCTTGGGAAGTGTCCTCCTCTGTCTCCCAGCATCATTTATTCTTCCCCTTGCTTTAGTTTTCCTCATCAGAGCCAAAGGAAGCAAGCAGGGAACCCTTTTCTACCCTTACAGGCATCTCAAATAATAATAAAAACCAAACCAAAACAAACAGAGGCCGTCCTCTTTCTTCAGCACTTCTCTCTGTAGAGTTTCAGACACATTACCAATGAAGCTCATCTTCTTGTTGTTCAGTTGAAACTGAGACATGCGGTGAGGAAGTGATTAGGGATTATCCAAGTAAGCCTTGGCTTGATCTTGACTCAGATGCAATCAGATGTATCACCAGTCCCTACCTCCTGTTAACATTAATATACACCCTGTGCCTAGTTAGAAGTTAAGAACAGAACATAACATATGTAGTCCCAAGACTCACCCTTCACAGTTGCTCAGCTTTCCAAGGAATTACTTATGAGGAAACTCCTGCTTTAGCTTCCACAGCTTCTAGACCTTTCAATGGCAATAGATATCACTGGTTGCACACAAGATAAATAATACAGAATAAGGGACATTTATTCTGGAACTTTAATGCCATGTAGGAGATTTCATCATGCATTCTAGAGCATATATAGCTGTGAAAAAGAGGGCTCTACATATTACATCTGTTTAAATTACTTTGCACAACTAGAACCAGGACAGTACTGAGCCAAAGCAATAAATCTGGAGATTTATTAATAAAATCTCAGCAGGAGCTGGCTTCTTGCAGCACACAATCTCCTAGTATGATGGCTTCAGAAGTTGTTAGTGCAAACAGACTCTCTCATTTGCATGCAGAGCACTTCGTCAATGTACAAGGTATTCTCCTTGACCTGGATCTCCTCCTCCAAGGAAAGCTGTCGTCGGCTCAGAGCTTTCAGTTCTGTCTCAGCCTGTGCCAGCGTGTCCTTTAATCTAACAGGGAATATACAGACACATTAATTGAAAATGGATGGATAGGTTTTTTTTACCATGTAGGCTAAGAATAAAAAAAAAAAAAAAAAAAAGATGGAAGGGAATCCCCAAAGAGACAATATCCATACAGCTTCCCTTAAAGTGTCCCCCCCATTAGCCCAGTAATCTATACCACAGATTTTCCTCTCTCTTTCTTTCTTTCTACTTGCCTTTGAGTATTTTGTTTAATCTCCTGAACTTCACTGATCAGCCTGTTATGCACTGTGTCATAACACAGTTCCACATTGGGGCGAAGGTTTCTTGCTTCCAGGCGGGTTTGAGCCACCTTAGCAGGTGCTTCTTTATCAGCAATTGCTTTCTTTAAGGCTGCAATGTTCTTCTCTTGTGAGGCAGTCTCATCCATCACCTTAACAAATCCAACAGGACAAAGTGCTGCACACTGTTTCTTACAATGGGTGAAATCACCAACATCTTCATTAATAGTTATGGTAATAACAATCACAGTAACACTCATTATGTTAAGTTATTTCATCAAAGGATATTTTACAAAGGTCAGCCAGGATTATGATTCATTTACTGGAAAGCAAGTGACACTATTCTGAGTGAAACTGGAGATTTATGCTCAACAATTAATTTTTCATATTAACACTCACTTTTAGAGTATCAAATTTTAAGCACATTGACCTTGATTTTACAAGTTATTAGACTCTTCTATCACAACTGTGAAAATTCCATAGGGACCCATGTAACTAAAAATTGCAAGGGAAATTCTGACTTTACTGATACCTACAGCAACACTTGCATCATGCAAGTGAGAGATTCCAGAAATTAACCTCTATAGTGGTGCACACAGAGCTGAGAAAATAAAATTCAAGACAATTTTGAGGGAGGGAAGTGTGATGTGGCAGGGGCTGCCAGCGCTGTAAAGGTAAAATTCTTAAAACAATGTAGTTCAGCCACTGGATTGAGAGAATTGGTAGATGACCCAAGCCCATTGTTATCACTTACCATTGCAAGGAGTGTCTCTAGCTTGTGCTTAGCTTCCTTGACTTCCCTCACCCTGTTTCTAAAAGCAGCATTCACCGTTTCACGTTGCTTGCGCATGTCGCTTGCTGTCTGCGAGAGGATGCCATCAACCAGAGCCCTCAGTCCCAAAGAATTGTTCCTCTGCTTATCAGCCTTTTCAACATTTATGTTTGAGAAATTTATCCAGTCTTCAGGGCTAACAAAACTGCAAGAGATTCACAATAAAAGGTCATCACCTGGCAGCATCACAGTCTTCTGTGACTTCATGGATTGGCATGTACTCCACAAAACCAAAACCACAGCAGTACTATTAACTGCACATCCCAGTGAGTGCCAGCTGTGCTGTGAATTCTACAGATACAAAATAAGGACCCTCTCTGTTGCAAACTTTTCAGAATGAAGCAGACAAGGTTAGGATAGAAGCACATCTGCTGAGAGTAACTTCATTGTAACTTTCCCTGATAAAAGGCTGAGCTGTTGTGCAGGAAACACAGATAACCACCAGCATTTCTCACACCACCTTTCATTAATTAAGCTGTTATTACTCATGTAATTCAGCTGTTACTATTAATAGTGGGTAACTATTCACAAAAAACAGTCATTTATTCTCTCACTTCACCACTTCTAAGACCATCACTTATAGTACCTGGCTGGAGCAATAGTTGGGAAACCAACCCCCAACCATACCCCTAGAATTGGAGGGTCATGCCTGTGCGTCAGTGCCTTGCAGGCAGGAGTTTGGAAAATTCCTCAGAGAGTTCTATCCGCTGGGTGGGTCTATAAACCTGTAACTGTCATTTGCATACAGCAGCCAACACCATTCTGGGTGTGGGCCGAGTTATACAACCTGTTCTTGCAGGCTAAAGTGACAGCAGCAAGATCTGTCAGTTTCTTGCTGTTCCAAGTTTGTCAGTCCTTGCAGAGCCACTAGTGTCCTTGGGAGACACTCACACACTGCTTTCCCACTACATTTCCCTTTTTCAGCTCATTTTGGAGGGTAGTTATTTCTCCATCTAAACCATTCACACTAGCTAGCCCAGACATAAAGGGTGCATTTGACAGAAACTTACTCCGCACCTCATGTATCCCAGCCCAGGGTTATCCCCACTAGAACGCCCTGGGGGAGGAAAGGAACTTAGATTAGTAAATCTGTTCTGGGTTGAAGCAAAGTGTGAATTTTTTCCTCAGCTAACTGTGAGCCTCAAAAATTTTTAGTATACTGCGTACGCTTGGAACATGATTACTGTGGGTTATTTCAGAGATATATTAGAGAGATACTAAAGTGATGGATAGAAGTATAAAAGCCAATCTATAACAGACAGGTGGACAAATATAGCCTGTTTTACACAAATTTACTTTAATCATGCTATTAGTGGAACGGCCCATACTAGCTGTATAATTATCATATATCCACTGAACTAAATAACCACTTACTTTCCTTCTATTTTCACTGCCTTGTCAGCATATCTGAGATCAGGAGTGTTGTTTGTCAGGCTAGCACAGTAATCATCAATCATCAAGGCGCTGAACTTGTCCTTCAGGTCCATTTCCAGGTTGTATTTTGCTGAACGGTTTAGCCTAGGAGGAGGAACAACCCCACCCTAAGCCAAAGAGTAGGCACTCACGGGTGTCCCCAGCATGCATGCCTACAGGCAGAGGATACACATGCTGTTATGGGATGCTGCACGTATGAACTGCTAGCTGCGGAGTCCCAAAACTGAGAGCATGCAGCTACTGCCATATAAACTGGTAGTACAGTTACCATTGGAATTAAGGCACAGGGCTGGATCGTGAGAAGACCAGGGATCAGGTACAAGTCCTTTGCGTTCTAACAGAACTTCTCACCATTTCTGACGGAATGTTATGACCTCCTGCAACTGTTTAGCACTGAAGGTAGCTTTGGACATGTGCTCAGCCTGAACCTACAACATTTTAGGATTATGGCTGGCCTTCTTATCAGCTAATCAGTGTTCAGTTATGCTCTTTGTCTCTGCACCTGATTTGCTCATTGGTTTGTTCTAATGTATGTCCAAGCAAAGCAACAACCCCTTGGATGACTTCAGCTTCCTTCACCAGTTCTGTTCCACTTCATTGTGCACCAAGTCAATCGCAGCTCGCCCCTGCCTAAATAAAAAGAGGAAAACATCAGTTACATTGTTCAAATTCCTAGAGCTAACAGGAGATCATGAAGCCCAGCTTTCCAAACTGAAGGCTCTCCTTTGCCACCCAGGAAGTTTTTCCTTTATGGCCTTGGTTCCCCAGTGTTATAACGTTTAAATCAGACTGTAACTCCACTGCAAAGAGGCAGGCCTTTAGCTCACAGCTTTTAAAATAATTTGTTAAAGGCTCATTACCTAATTTTTTTGCTCTCCCTGAATACTTTTCTTCTTAATCATCTCAGCTGTTCAGGAGACACTTTTGGGCAATGATGAGTGGCTCTTTGCAGCTCTCCAAAGATTTCTCCAGCCTGGTCTTGAAAGTCAACAGTACCTCTGTCTCAAGAATAATTTGTTCAAGTTTGTTCTCTAATTCTTGCTTCCAGAATTTTATTTCTTCTTGTCTCTGTTCTGAAAAACAAAAATTGCAAACAGGTATTAATACAAGCCCATCTTATATGCTAGAGTACTGTGAGCCAGATCCCATATATGGCTAAAAATAGACTTATTCCACAGTGGAGTGCATGCAGTGCTCTAGGCTGATGCGTGGAGACAGTTTTGTAACCCTGTGTTAGGAGATTTGGTTGGAATAGCTTTCTGTGTGTTTTGGAGAAGTAATGTATCTGTTTTATATAAAAAAAATCTGCCTCAAAATAGATTTTTTACTATTTTTAATTTTTTTCAGGAGATCAGAGAGCATGGCATTAACATACATTCACTATCAACTAGTTTTCTAAGTCCATCTTAAGCACATAGCTCAAATAACACATCTTGACACTTGTAGAACACAAGGGATTACCTATTTTCTTGTTGACATCACTCTGAGTTTTCTGAGTTGTCTTTTCTATTTCATCCAGCAGCCTCTGGCTCTCAGCTATCAGGCGCTCTGACCTGGATTTCTGAGACTCTGCACTGGCATGCTGCATCTTGTTTGCAACGTCCCATTCCGAGGGATGAAACTTGGGTGGAGCTTGCAACAGCCTGGCCATTGTTTCTTGGAAAGTTTCCGGATATAATGCAGGTCAGTTCTTGGAATGTGGAACCTGAAAACAGGAATAGCATTATGTTGGCTGCAGAACCAAGAAAGGGAGAAGACAGGTCCATGAGGGTGAGAAAAATTCTCGCCCCTTTTACCTGCAAAATGATAGTTATGAAAAGACTTCTTGCTCAAGGCTCCCCAAGACTTTGGTAAGGTGTGGGGGAGTTTGGAGTGGGAGAATGAAGAAACAGAAGAATATGGGAATGAAAGCTGGGAGGAGAGAAAGTAAGAGGACTGAAAGTGGAACTGAGAGGAAAAGATGGGCTGTCTGCAATAGGAAGGAGAAAGGGAAGAGAAGGAGACCTGTGAGGAAAGCTGGAAATACTAGATGGACAATCACAGAAAACTAAGAAAAAGTGAACAAACACAAAAGATAAAACAGTCTTCCACAGGATGGAGAATAACATATATAATATATAATAATATATAATAACCTTTTAATAATATGGCTGGAGAGGTTGATGAACTCTGGGTTGTCAAAAAGAAATTTAATGGTCATTAGGAAAAAAAACAAACCAGGACCCAAAAGGCTGAAGGAGGAAATACAGCAGGTAAATGATGAAATGGAAAAGCCTAGGAATGGCTAAAGCAGAAACAAGAACAACATCCGCTGGGGACACTGGTTTAATGTAGGCTGAAACCAATGCCCTAAATACATGCAAAGTCACAGCAGTTTGTTGCTCAATTTTCCTATTATTTTCATTATGCTCATCCAGTGTTCCTGAGACAACTCCTCACCCCAAATGCACACAGCTGCTCCTCAGCAACACACAGCTTTGCCCACACTCCAGCACGGGCACCCTTAAAACAACCCCTCTTCTCCTCCACACACCTCTTGGCTGACTCTGCTTCTAGCCTGGACTGATCCCAGCGTAAAACTGTGGCTGAGTGCCAAGTCCTCAGTTTCCCTTCACTGAGGGGGATTTGCTCCCAGCTCTCTTCCAGCCTCAATCCTCACAGCAGCAGCACAGTTTCCGCTTAAATGTGTGACTCAGTATTCCAGGAGGTAGCTTCACACATAATGGCAGGTAAACAAAGCAGTTACCGTGGGAACAGCAAGGCTGCCCCTGGCAGCCTTCTGCTATTGCACCACGTGGAAGGAGGACAGCACAGGCAAGCCAGCGGCGCTTCCGTTCACCCATTCCCAGTTAAGATTGCCCTGGAAATAAAAACTTATTCTTTGTACAATTATTGAGATAGTTCCCACAGCTCCGGGCAGTAATTTCTGACTGACTTAGTGTAGAAATGCATTAATACTGTGAAAGCAAACAAAAGGTGTGTGGAGCACCTAGCTATCTAAAATGTCAGTCATAAAATATCTGTATCAATATGTGACATCTTTGTGGCAACTACATTGTGAGAATTCTCTCACTACATAATCTGCATGTACTCCAGAGAAGGAAAAACAGGTTTCCAGCTGAAGAAACACTGTTTGACAGAAAAAAAATGCAGGTATTTCAGAGTTAGGCAAAGAAAAAATACAGGCTTCAGAAGATAGGGTGGATGTTAGAACTGAAGCCATTAGACTGAGAGGAGAAGGATCTATAGATGCAAGAAGCAGCAGAGAATGGGGTGCAAGGCTATCAAAGAAAATAAACAACACACGCTAACTGATGCTGGAGGATGGAAAGCTGTGGTCACAGACACTCAGCATGTTCCTGATTCATGAGGCAAAGCAAAACTATGAGTAAGCTGAATGCTGGTCAGAATCAATTACATAGACCACAACTGAGGCAGGTCTGTACATCAATTTGATATACTGCATACATGAGGTCTGCAACTACTTGTACAAGACACCAATGTTTGTAAGGGCTGTTTCTTGATTTGTACATTCCGGCCACCCTTGGTCTAGATATATTTTTTTTTCCCCCTAATGAATATTTTTTTAACACCTTCTTAGCATAACATGCTGAAATGAGTTAGATGAAAGCACTAATTTTTGTCACATGAACACCTAGAGCAGGAACTGGAGCCACTTCCATAATAATTGAAAGATGTCCAATGACTTAAGTACATGTGAACTCAAAGCTAGTTTGAACAGAGGTTTACTTTGGCCAGTGTGAGTCACGGAATATGTATCCCACTGTATATTAGTCGTCTTCCACATTTTATTATCTGTGCTCTCAGTAAACATTCCAAGGCTTTTAAAAATATAAGCAAATTAAAGAGGCATGCCAAAATTATGCATAATAAACTGAAATCCTGAAATATCTGAACAGCAGTTGCAAACTTTGCATGTCTCACATTTCTGCAGATGCGCTCATCACTTCGATAGCTGAAGAATCCTCCAAGATCTTACTGTGAGATCCGTGACACCTCATGCACTTTTGTTCTGAAAACCCAGTGCCTGGTGCTGTCCTGACCCAGCCTGTGGCCAGCACCAGCATGAAGTACTTCATTTCTAGTTGCTAACCCTAAATCCGCTCTTCATTGTCAGCTTACCCTAAAAGACTGTGTCCTTTTAAACTGTTAATGTGAAATTTGCAAGCGATCCTTCAACAGGAATGATACGACATAAGAAAGTTTTATTTTTATCTCAGGTGGTTTTCAGCGTTCCATCACTGCACACTTCTGAGGCTGACAACAGGGCGCTCTGCATCAAACACCACACGTCAATTCAACTCAGCAGTCAGGGCAATTTAGAAAGGAACGGAAATGAAAAGGCTTGTTAATCCCTGAAATCCTCCAGCAATTTACAGGAAAGAAAAGGAGGC